CAGTTTGGTGTAGTGGTTAAGAGTGCGGACTCTAATCTAGAAGAACCGGGTTTGATTCCCCACTCTTCCACATGCAGCTGCTGGGTGACCTTGGGTCAGTCACAGTTCTCTCAGAGCTGTTCTCTCAAGAGCAGTTCTTTCAGAGCTCTCTCAGCCCCACCTACCTCACAGGGTGTCTGTTGTGGGGAGGGGAAGGGAAGGAGATTGTAAGCCGCTCTGAGACTCTGAGTGAAGGGCGGGGTATGACTCCAATCCCTTCTCTTCTCCTCCTCTTCTTCTGTATAATCTTTTTGTTTGATTTATTCCTTGTAGGGAGACCCAGGAGAAATTATCGGGCAACTACCTGGCGGTGTAATAAAAGGTGAAAAAGGATTTCTTGGCCAACCTGGATTACCGGTAAGACTTACTCTAAACTTGGCCACATCCCTTCTTGTTAAAACAGGTGGGACTGAAACAGGGTGCGAAAGACAGCAAGCACCTAGATGGGGTCTGGAGTGTATTTTTGTGCAGTTTGCACAAAAAAAACAGCACAGAAATCCTGTTCATTAGAGAGTACCATCCCCCTGCACAGAGGGTAGGGATGCTGTTTCTTTTCTAGTTGTACCTGAGCGCTCCACTGGAGCTCTGAGCGTTTCAGATTGGACCTAAGAAAATCCCATGGGCAAAGGAAATATTTTACATCTTGATGAGTTGCCCATGTTGGATCACATGAGAATTTGACACCACTTACTCCACGGGTGAGCATCTCCGTGTGAGTAAGGTCAGTTCTACGCATGATCAGTTTATTGCACGTCTTTGTCAAATGAATGGAGTGCTCAGTTTGAATCATGCCACTGAGGAAAGCCTACTGCCAAAATGTGGTTGGTATTGGTTCTTGCATATGGAGACAATAGGTACTTTACAACCTTTATTTATGTAAATAGACATTTGTCTTTATCTTGGGATTAGGTATTTATTTGCTGAAACCTAGGGCTGTTGTTTTTAAGTGATGTTTTAGCAGTTCTGAATGGATTATTAAATTATATACAATGTTTTGTACATTTGCACTACGTGCATAGTTTTTTGTTTTTTTTACTTTCTTCTCCTTTGCTCCAAACTTTCTGGCTACCTGACTCATTATAAGGCGGTGCCGTATATTTATCTGAGGGTGCCTCTAAGTGGGAGAGGTACAGTGGTCGAGCATCTTCTCGGCATGCAGAAAGGCCCCCAGTTCAATCCCTGGCATCCCTAGTTAAAAGGATCAGGTAGTAGGTGATATGAAAGACCTTTTTCTACTTGAGACCCTGGAGAGCTGCTGCCAATCAGAGTTGACAGTGCTGACCTTGATAGATTGATGGTCTGACTCAGTAGAAGGCAGCTTCATGTGTACTTTTCATATTTGTGTGGAAAGAAACCATGTATGGTCAGGACTAGCGGCTAAGGAGAGCCAGTTTGGTGTTGTGGTTAAGTGCGCGGACACTCTCTCTCTCTCTCTCATCTATCTATCTATCTATCTATCTATCTATCTATCTATCTATCTATCTATCTATCTATCTATCTATCTATCTATCTATCATCTATCTAATCACTGTCTATCTATCTATCATCTATCTAATCACTGTCTATCTATCTATCATCTATCTAATCACTGTCTATCTATCTATCATCTATCTAATCACTGTCTATCTATC